AAGCACACGGTTAATTACTGTTTTGCTTAAAACATTGATTTTTACAAGTAATCCTTACGGGAGAGCATTTCTGGCTTATCTCTTAGCTGGCTTAGCAGTTTTTTTTTTTTTTTTTTATTTTTTTGGCTGGACCTCTTATCTCAGTTTATTTACTCAACTAAAGGATTCTCTGCAGTCCTTTGGGGAAAGCAAGTTATGATAATAACTTATCAGTTGATGCAATTTATCGAGTGCCTGCTCATCTTCCAAGGCTCGGCTCAGAGGTCCCTCCCGGGGAGCAGCTGGCTTCCCAGGGCCCGTCCGCCCCGCGCGCCTCCCGGCTGGTGTCCATGGGCAGTGGGTCCCTGCGGGCGATTATCTTTTGCATCAGTGCCTCCCGTGGCCTCATCTTTCCTGCCCCAGGCTGCATGCAGTCTGACAGGTGGAGCTCCATAAATACCTGACCTGGGGGCCCGGGGGATGGAGGGGGAGGGACGCTGCCAGTGGATCCCGCCCGCACTGGCCTCCAGGCGGGGGTTGCTGGGGGCTCCTGAGCCGCCCCCTTCCATCGCGTGCTGCCTCTCCCACCTGCCCGCCAGGGTTCGCTCACCTGTGCTCCGTGTCTTGGATGTCGGGAACCACATCCAGTACCTGGCTCTGGCATCGACTCCCGATGCGCAAAGGCTGCAGCTGGTGGGAGCCTGGTGACAAGATCCCTGCTTTCTGTCTCATCTCGTCCACCAATTATGACAGTATTTTGTCAACATCGATTATTAACTTTCTACTTCCACGATATTACGCAGTCGATTTTGGGATCTAACTAGTGAGCAGTGCATTTTTATATGTACCCGAGTGGATGCAAAGCAGGCTAAAAGCTATCTTTCTGAGGTTGTTTTTTTTTCTCAAGAAGCAGATAAGGTTTGCTTTTCTTTTTTTCTCCTTTGGTAGAATCATAATCTTTGACAGCAAATCACGCGAAGATAAAACTCTTCCCACATACCCATCTGTAAAATGCTCTTGCTTTGGCAACTGTTTACATCACTGTTAGTTACTTTCTCATCCTTTGCTTCAAGACCATCTTCGTTTTGAACAAAGTTATTCAGCAAATTCGAGAGGAGCCCTCCACCAAGGTCTGTGACCGAGGCTTCGAGAATCGCAGGTCTTTGAACCTCTGTGTCACAGCAGCAGACCTGATTCTGAGCAGGGCCACGGAGTTAAATTCCAGTGACAGCCCCGGTGGTAAAATAATCGACGGGAGTCCCGGAGGAGGGAAGCTGAATTTACAAAGAAATATTTGTGTGAAGCCTCAGCGTGTGGGCTTTCACAGAATTACCTTATTAAACGGACCCTGCACACCCCAACATACTCACCCTGCTTCGACCCTGAATATCCATCCTGGGTTAGGCGCTAGATGCAGACATTAACTTTTTTTACGCAGTTGTATAAGTCATGCTTATTTATACTGTGTGCTTAGCCATTCAGTCACGTCTGACTCTGTGCGACACTTTGGACTGTAGCCCACTGGGCTCCTCTGTCCATAGGTTTTTTTCAGGTAAGAATACTGGGGTCAGTTGCCATTTCCTTCTCCAGAGGATCTCTGACCCAGGAATCGAACTAGTGTCTCCCGTGTCTCCAGCACTGCCGGTGGAATTTTTACCCACTGAGCTATTGACCACGCAACACCTGCCGTGGTGGGGGCTGGTTAAGTGAATAGGCAAATGTGTGTGCTGGGTCCTTTGCTGGGAATACTAAGCTCTGGTTAATAACTGGCCTTGGGAAGGCCCTTTAATGATGGGGGATGTGTTTAATCTAATGCCTCGTGGGAGAGAAGTGTGTGCAGGGTCCTGGAGGTCCAGACCTTGCCTCTGGAAACTTCTGGTTGGCTGCGTGGCAGAAGGTCCACAGTGTTCAGCTGGGGGGACTGTGCCGATGGTTTTAGACACTTATTTTCTCCATTGTATACCTTTTTATGATGTGTTTTTATTAAGTAAGACAACATATATTGAATAGTGGGTTTTTCCCTGACTAAATCTGTGTGTGACAATGAGACCCCACTACGCCCCTGCCGGAACGTCTGAAATCCGGAGCACGGACGCCAAGTGCAGGCAAGGGTGTGGGGCAACGGGAGCTCTTCTTCCCGGCTGGTGGGGATGCAGAAGGGTGCAGCCGCTTTGCAAGACAGTCTGGCAGTTTCTCACAAAGCAAAGGGGACTCTGACTGTGTGACCCAGCAGTCACACTCCCTGGTATTTACCCACATGAGTTGAGAACTCATGTCCAAACAAAAACACGCACACAAATGTTTGCAGCAATTTTATTCATGATTGTAAATACTGGAAAACAACCAGAAAAGCGTTCAGTAGGTGAATGGGTGAACTGTGGTACCTCCATACAATGGAATATTACTCAGTAATGAAAAAAACTGAGCTATCTAGCCATAAAAGGACACAGGGGACTTTAAATACAAACAGACACACTTGGGAGATATGACAGATTTGGTTCCAGACCACTGCAATAAAATAAATATGGTAATAAAGCAATTTTTTGGCTTCCAAGTGCATATAAACATTATCCTTGCATTACCCTACCTTCTGTTAAGTGTGCAATAGCATTATGTGTAAAACAGCATACATTCCTTAATTAAAAAATACTTTATTGCTAATAAATGCTAACCATCATCTGAGCCTCCAGCAGGTTGTGATCTTTTTACTGGAGGATCTTACATGATGCTGACAGCCGTTGACTGATCAGGGTGATGTTGCTAAAGCTTGGGGTGGCTGCAGCAATTTATTAAAATAATACAGCAATGAATTTGCCACGTAAGTTTATTTCTTCTCAAGAATGATTTCTGTTTTTCCTGCAATGTCATTTGAGAGCATTTTACGCACAGTAGACCTTTCAAAATTTGTCAGTCCTCTCAAACCTTGTCACTGCTTTCTCAACTAAGTTTATGTAATAGTTAACTTACTTTGTTATCATTTCAATAGTCTTTATAGCACCTTCACCAGGTGTAGATTCCATCTCAAAGATCCACTTTCTTTGCTCATCCTTAAGAGGCAACTCCTTGCTTATCTGTTAAAATTTTGGCATGAACTTGCAGCAGTTCACTCACATCTTCAGGCTCCACCGCTCATTCTCGTTCTCCTGCCATTTCCACAACATCGGCAATTACCTTCCCCTCTGCCCTAAAAGTCATCCATGAAGCTTGGAACCAGCTTTACCAAAACTCCTGTTAAGGCTAGTGTTTCGATCTCTTCCCACGAATCTCAGATGCTCTTAATGACATTTTGAATGGTGAATCTTTTCCAGAAGGCTTTCAATTGACTTTGCCCAGATCCACCAGAGGAATCACCATCTATGGCAGCTAAGCCTTATGAGGGGCTTTCCAGGTGGCTTCGTGGTAAATATTGAGCTCTCAGTGTAGAAGACAGGTTCAGTCCCTGGGCCGGCCAGATCTTCTGGAGGAAGAAATGGCAACCCACCCGAGTATTCTTGCCTGGGAAACCCCAGGGTAGAGGAGCCTGGGGACTACAGTCCATGGGGTTGCAAAGAATCAGACACAACTGAGCATGCGCAGCAGCTCTATGAAATGTAATTCCTAAATAATAAGACTTAAAAGTCGAAGTGACTCCTGTATCAATGGGCTGTAGAATGGATGCTGCGTTGGCAGGCATGAAAACATTAATGTCCTGTCTGTCTCCTTCAAAATTCCTGGGTGACCAGGTACATTGTCAACAAGCAGTAATATTTTGAAGTGAATCCAGTTTTATTTTTCTGAGAAACAGGTCTCAGCAGTGGGCTTCAAATGTTCGGTAAACCTGTTGTAAAGAGATGTGCTATTGCCACCCTGTTTATAGAGCACAGGAAGGTAGATTTAGCATAATGCTAAGGGCCCTAGGATTTTTGGAATGGTGAATGCATTGACTTTAATTTAAAGCCACCAACTGCATTAGCCCCTAATAAGAAAGACAGCCTGCCCTTTGAAATTTTGAAGTGTTGACTTCTCCTCTCTAGCTATGAAAGTCCTAGATGGCATTTTCTTCCAACAGAAGGCTGTTTTGTCTACATTGAAAATACATTATTTAGTGTAGCCACCTTCATGAGTTGTCTTAGCTAGCTCTTCCGAATAACTTGTGCACTTTTAACTGTGTTCAAGAACGTTTCCTTTGCCTTCACACCTTGAGCAATGGTGCAAGAGGCCTTGCGTTCAGCCCATCTCAGCTTCTGACTTGTCTTCCTCACTATGTCCAGTCATTTCTAGCTTCTGGAGATGAACAGGCAGAGCACATGGGGTCTTTAGTTCTGCATTTGACAAAACTCATGGAATGAACAACACAAACGGTGAACCGTAATGTAAACTGTGGACTTTGGGTCATAATAATGCATCAGTGTTTGTTCATGAAGGTAGCCCCCAATCCAAGTGGCTGATAAGAGGGAAGTATGTGGGAATTCTTTGTACTTTCTGCTCAAGTTGCCTGTAACTATAAACCTGCTCTATAAAAAATTAAATTTAAAAAGTCTGTGAACGCCATCACAGCGCACTTGGAAAATACAGAAAGACAGAAATGAAGAGAAACTCAGGAATCTGGCACCGAGTGTGCCCTTTGGTATTTAAAGTGTGAGACGTGCAGCTCTGGGCCTGAGACCAAGAACACGCTTGGCATCTAATCAGCCAAATGAAGACTGGTTGACCTGGTGACTGCACAGACACAGACACGATTGTCCAAGAGGCTCTGTCACCGCATCTCGGCCTGGGAGCCGCAGCGGCGCCTTCTCTCTGAGGCAGGCTTCTCCTCTGGCGGCTGTGGCCCTGTGGCGGCACCCAGCTCTGTGCCGAGGTGACGTCTGGGGGCGTTGGGAGCTCATCACTCTTATTTCCGGGACAGTGGCCCAGGGCATGGGCTTCCAGGAAAGGGGGTCCCCACACTCCTCTTTTCTTGGTGCTCGAATGCTCCGTCACGAAATGGCACTGTCTGCAGTGGACGCTGGGTACCCGTGCTGACCTCCCTGTCCCCTCTGCAGGTGGCTCTCACAGCAGCCTTAAGCCCGTGGGCAGCGGCCCCGCCGTGGCCATCGCGGCCGCCGCCACAGCCGTGGTCTCCGTGGACCCCGAGGGGCTCGGGGGCCCGCCCCCCTCCAGGACGCAGCCCTGCCACTTCCTGACCCTGGCGCCCATCAGGATCCCCTTGCGGACCACACCCTTCCCCGGTAAGTACCCAGCCCGTCTCTCAGAGCCGTGGGCTGGCGAGAGTCCACAGCATGGCAGCCCAGGCGGGGGCCTGCTGGCCTCCAGGTCCATGGTTTCCTGGGTTCTGGTGCGGGGAGCACTGGGCAGGAACTCCCGGGTGTGCTAATCTGCAGACCACACTCATGGACCTCCGTCCCACTGACCAAGGCCGTGTGGGTCAGGGGGTCACCCTGGGCATTTTCTGCTGTGAAACAAAGTGCAAAGTTTCTATTTGAAGAAACGAGGCACGTCTTTACTTACTCCTCACAGGGAGTAATGCACATAGAGAAATATCTAATTGTCTGAGGCAGAGCTTGGAAGAAAGCATAGGCAATGTGCTGGAAAAGAATTATGCATCTGAGTTAATGAAACAAAAAAGTACACAGCGCAGACTCGCCTGGGGCTCTCACTGAGCCGTCCCTCCTGGGCTGGCCCAGGCCTGTTTTGAGCACATGGGGTGGGTCCCCCCCTCACGGCAGGGCCTGTGCAGAGGCCCACCAAAGCCCGTGGCTGAGCACCAAGGGGGCCACCAAGGCACCGAGTTCCTCCGTGTATTCAGGGTGCCGTTCTAAGTCCTCGGGGCCGAGGCGGGGCTGGCGGACGCTCTGGTGTTGTGAGCTGAGCTGCAGGATGAGGGTCTCAGGAAGGACCTGGAAGGCCTGGTCCCGGACTGGTTGTCCTCAGCATGCTCACGCGTGCCTGCTCACTGTCACCAGCAGGCATGTCCCCGGCCGTCCTGGCGAGTGCATGTTTGGGTCCATCCTTAAATGTCACAAAAGCAGGGTTGATTTGGAATGACATTTAGTAAGTGCTGGAGTCTTGTGAGCTAGTGCTATTTATTAGAGTTCTAGGTTTTCACCTAGATACAGTAAGACCTGGATAGAAATTCTGTGGGATTATTAATTCTATACCAGAGTCAATCCTAGAATTGCATGCTAGTCTTGTGTCATTGTTTGTTTAATCGCTGTCGTGTCCAACTCTTGGCGACTGCATGGACTGCAGCCCACCAGGCTCCTCTGTCCGTGGGATTTCCCAGGCAAGAACACTGGAGTGGGTTGCCATTTCCTTCTCCAGGTTTACATCATCGGTGGCTCTGAAATCAGTGACAGAGACACCACTGGATTGTGATACACACACACATAAATGCATCTTTGAGGTAGAAATGGAGATAGCCTGGTCTCATTGCTTTCCAGATTGAGGGGATGTCACTGGTTTTCTGGTTTTGTTTCTAGTGTGAGTGTTGTGGTCTTCTCAACACTGGGCCTGGGCGTGCGTGTTTCTGTGTTAACTTGGTAAATTAGTTGGTCAATAGAAAGTTGTATTCTCAAGAACAGACTCTTATTTCTATTTCAGCGTGTCAGTGAAATGCACTTAGGGTGTGATGGGGGAAATAAATAAAACACACGGATAATCTCTTGTGTGGAACATAATTTACAGCTGTGTCAAGATTTTGGTTAAAATCCATCAGTCCACTGGCATTTATTAAGGATGACTTACTATTTTCTGAGCAAATTAATCTTAGAAAGGACCCAAAACCAAACCCCATGTACCCCAGGGTCGGCTTCACTCTTCACATCTCATATGATTTATAAGGAACATAATCATCAGGCGTCTTTCCATGTTGGTGTTGTATAAGGCTCTATAATCAAATTTGCCATCATGTGCGTTCAATTAGACAAAGGCAGCATCCATGGATTTTTCTTGTAGAAGACTGCCAAAGCGGCTGTCAGAGGGGGAAGGGGCCGCACTCAACAGGTGACTGATGAAACAGCCTCTGGGGTGAAGATCTATTGGTCCCTCTCTCCTGGAGGCCCTGATCATTGCAGGGTTGGAACCGGGGTTTGTCTGGGCCAATGACCCCAGCCTGATGCGCGTCCTCTGGGCTATGTGGCCAGTCCCAGGCATCAGTGGTGCACGCGGTTCTGGCAGGGCTGCCCCTGGAAGTGGTTCTTGGGGAGGCAGGACCACCTGCCCTCCTAGTCCTGTTGCCCCGGCTTGCTCCTCTTGACATCAGCAGAAGGCATTTGAGAGGGACTGCCTGTGCCCACTTCAGTATTCTTGCCTTGAGAACCTCATGAACAGTATGAAAAGGCAAAATTATAGGATACTAAAAGAGGAACTCCCCAGGTCAGTAGGTGCCCAATATGCTACTGGAGATCAGTGGAGAAATAACTCCAGAAAGAATGAAGGTGTGGAGCCAAAGCAAAAACAATACCCAGTTGTGGATGTGACTGGTGATAGAAGCAAGGTCTGATGCTGTAAAGAGCAATATTGCATAGGAACCTGGAATGTTAGGTCCATAAATCAAGGCAAATTAGAAGTGGTCAAACAGGAGATGGCAAGAATGAATGTCAACATTCTAGGATTCAGCAAAGTAAAATGGACTGAAATGGGTGAATTTAACTCAGATGAACATTATATCTACTACTGTGGGCAGGAATCCCTTAGAA